TCACTAGCTACAACTTTTACCCGTTGTTCTAACAACGTTAAGACGGCTTATCGACTTCTTGAGAAGAATATATATATATATATATATTACCTATTATTTTTAATATAATCTATGTCGGATATGCGCGTAAAGATACTCAAAGGCAATATACGCTAGCCGTCCCTAATTTATTTGATGCGCTACAGGGAAGGCAGCTAGTCAAAAGCACCCCCCGCCAACTGTTGAGATACTTGAATCGAAAAGTGGGATTAGACCATCACTCTTATAACGCATTCAAGGCCCCAAAATGCACAGCGTGATTTTGCTGCAATGGGATTCGAACTATGGACACTCAGATCCACGGCTCTGCACACTAACCAACAGGCCATATATTTAATATAATAGTGTTGCTGTTAGTAACATCCTTTCATAATGATGTTTTACATTTACTAAAACTTTCTTACTTTTCTTTGTTCAAACACGTTTTTCTCTTGTATATCTGGTCAGACTGGCAGAACATTAAATAAAAATACGAAGTTCCACTTGTGATAAGCTTCCGTCCTTGGCTCTTCGAAATGACGTACGGTTTCAGCCATCTTTCCAATATTGATTCTCTTCTGTGCGTATGCTTTCCTGTTTCGATGTCAACAAATTTTAACATATATAAATACATAAATACTTCAATGAACCGAGGCCAAAAGACAAGCAGCGTAGCACATACAAGACAAGAACAAACATATAAAACACTGAAACAAGCTACATAGTTGAAACAGCAGATAGAGAGTGTGTGTGCGTGTGTGTAGTGGTATGTGTATATCTGTCGGGTAAACATTTAGAAGTAGGAGAAGACCTGGGTTTGCAATCTGCTCATAACCTAATTAGTAGCTTTGTATCGCGTCCTTTTGATACTACATTTAACATAAATGCCGTAATGTATTTAAACAGAAGAATAAACGTATATAATTACAAAAATATGCAAAAATACAATTTATTATTTATATGCAGCAATATTAATAATGTAACAGAAAACTGAATAATGTAGTCAGAAGTATGTTGAACATTTTACCTGCTCTAATTACCGTATGTCAGTACAGTCTGATCATGATTAATTAACATATCGCAGTACAGTCTGATCATAGTTAATTAACATATGGCAGTACAGTCTGATCATGGTTAATTAACATATGCCAGTACAGTCTGATCATGGTTAATTAACATATGCCAGTACAGTCTGATCATGGTTAATAAACATATGCCAGTACAGTCTGATCATGATTAAACACCCATGTCAGTACAGTCTGAGCATGGTTAATTAACATATGCCAGTACAGTCTGATCATGGTTAATTAACATATGCCAGTACAGTCTGATCATGGTTAATTACCATATGTCAGAACCATCTGATCATGATTAATTATCATATGTCAGTACCATCTGATCATTGTTAATTAACATATGCCAGTACAGTCTGATCATGATTAATTATCACATGTCAGTACAGTCTGATCATGATTAATTAACATATGTCAGTACAGTCTGATCATGATTAATTAACATATGTCAGTACCATCTGATCATGATTAATTATCATATGTCAGAACCATCTGATCATGATTAATTACCATATGTCAGTATCATCTGATCATGATTAATTACCATATGTCAGTACCATCTGATCATGATTAATCAGACGTACAAGAAACACGAAATACATCTTTGGGTTTGTTTGCTGTTGAATTTCGCGAAAAGCTACTCGCGGGCTATCTTCGCTAGCCGTCTCTAATTTTCAAGTGACAGATTAAAGAGAAGCCAGCGAGTTAAAGGAACCAGATTGGATCTTCAGGAGACTATAATTTATATTAGTACAAAGATAGCAAAAAAAGGAGAACCGAACAGACTTATAAACGATTTAAGCTATAAGATAATTTCATACACAGAAAGTAATTTTATCTGGCTAAGTCTAGTACGGGATTTTCTGTAAATACTATTTGACTACTGCTTTGTAATGAAAATAAAACTGTTTGCTTTCTTTTAAAGTTAATTGCTTAGTTAATATTTCAAGTCTTCAAAAAATATTAAAGAAATTGTCAGAGCTCATGCTTTTGGGTCTACCCTGTATACAGAGTTGCACACCCACAATAATAAAATAATCCACAGTTTTATGTAAATTAGTAAAAAGAAGTAATTTCTTGATGCTTACACATTGACGTAAAAACCAATGTAATCGACCCATGTTCTCAAAATACAGCCGGTGTAATATACAGTACAAAGCCGAGATCAAAATGACCCGAACTCGCCTATATCAACACGCAGAAAATCATGCCGTTTTGTTAGGCTGTTATACAAAACAACATATTTTGTGCTATGTTTATGCATAAAGCAACCACACCCATTCTTAGTTCAGATAAACACGTACATCCGGCACGTGATAAGATGACTATCCCACTGGTTAAGCATGCAATATAAAACGCTACCTCCAGTCGATAACTACACACAAATACAGAGGTATAGTATTCAACAAGAAACTTGCATAGATACAGTGTACTTATAAAATAAAAAGAAATTATTATTCGCGCTTTTACCACTCCATACTGCATGAATTAAACGAAATTATGTTTTCAAAGATAGAGCTATAATATGTTAAAATCTTTACGCCTTCATCGGAAATAGTCAAAGCCCTACTTTGTTGTTAATAAAAATCGTGTAGAAAAACATGCTGCAAAAGAGAACTCATTTTAAAACAAGAGGGAATCCTCAACAGCCGCGGCATTTGAAATTCTTTTAGGCAGGATTAGAGTAAATTAATCTATGAGACGTTTGTTCTCCTTTTTATTAGCTGTATTTTTGTGCGCAAGCAATACCAAGCGTGGGGCGCGCGCATTTCCGATTCGATTTTATTACTTATCAGGACCTCTACCAGCCTACCCTCAAATTGAAATTCTTTTAGGCACGATTAGGATAAATTAATCTATGAAACCTTGGGAGTGGTCAAATACATCATTCGAAAGGGTTTGACCTCCTAAGTCCAAAACTGTAATTAGATCTCAAATCGGTCAAGAGATGACGGAGCTAAGAGCTAAAAGTTTGTTCTTGAAAAAAAGAAAAGAAAAACTCAGCCATTTTATGAGCCGTTATGCCGCGGCTAAAAAATACAGGACAAGTCAATTCAGGGAAGCTCAAATACATATAGTTGGCTGAGACCATAAACATTTTATCATCTTGACGAAAATGAAAACAGAAAAACAAGGCTATGTATATCTAACGTAAAATTTCTATAATAATATTCGACAGCTTTCTTTGCTTATAACTAAATTAATAGTTTTCCACTTTTCTAATTTTGGATGGAACCAAATTTTCAATTAAAGTTTTATATAAATAATAATAATACCAGTTAAGTATAGCATAATACGTAAAATAGAAAGTTGGAAAACGTATTACAGGTGTATTATTATAGCTCATTAATATATAGTAACTAGCTAATTAGAGAACCTTGGACATCAATAACTGAGCACACTGTCTTGACGACAAGAGAATCTTAGATATCCAAGCATTCTTTATTAGAAGCTGAGGAAAAGAATTTCAAAGTGTTCTTTTTTTTTAATAGGAATATTACACTTACTTTGAAAGTGCGCTAGGAATCGCGAGTTGTTACACAGAGCAGGAGATGAGTGTTGAAAAATTCTTTGACGTAAATTTCAGGAATAGTCGATATAGCTTTTTGGACATAAAGAATAGTAGTATTTGTAGCCAAAAAAGTGTCTTCATTAATCTGAGAATTTTATAAGACAGAAAGACGACAAAGTCCAAAGTACTTCTGAATACAATTCTGAGTGTAATCTGTGAAAAGGATCTACTCATAAAACGAAGAAGTTGGCCTCTTAGGACAAAGAATCCTTCACTAAAGTAAGACAGGACTATAGTTATGACGGGCTTTCTTACTCTGGAAAGAACTACGTGATTTTTTTTATTTAAAGTTTAT